TTTGCCATACTTCAGAGATAGTGTGTTTCTTGATCTGAGGTGGGGTCAGAAAGAGGAGAGAGAGGCAACTGAATGTTGCCACCGGGTGCCCTTCAGGGAGTCCAACGCTGCTATTTTGAAGTATGTATGTAGAGCCAGGTCCTGCTTAGTTTAGAATAGCGAACAGCGTGTCATACTGCCCTCTAGTAGCCAGCCTAGGAAATGACACCTACCAACTAGACATCTGGAGGTAAAAAGTCCTTCGTACTTAGGAGGCTGAGGCAGGAGGATCCTCACAAGCTTAAGGCCAGATGGCTGGAGATAGCTTGTGGTCGGTCTACGTACCTGCCTGGCAACTGCAAGGACCTGGGTTCGATCCCTGGTACCACGAGCTGTGCTGGCCCCACACCATGCCAGCCACCGAAACTGGGCATGGTGGAGAGCGCCTGTAATCCCAGCACAGGGAGGTGGAGACAGGAGGATCACTATGAGTCCAAGCGGCATAGTGAGACCCTGTACCAAATACATAAATGAGTGAATGAATGAATGATTAAAATTCTTTTTTAAAAGTTTAAGGCCAGCCTGGGCTGCAAAGTGAACTCCAAGCCAGCCCAAACTGCACAGCAAGATCCTGTCTCAAAAAAGATTTTTAAAAAAGTCTTTTGTAAAGAAAAAAAAAGATTTCTAAAGTAGCTGAGCCTAAAGCAAGTTGTTCCTAAGAAATAGCACAGAACCCACAAAAGTGAACTCAATACCTGAGCCTATTTGAAATCAAAACTTTGCTGTGCAAAGGGTCCCAACAATGAGCTAGGAGCTGGATACACTCACTCCCCCTTATGCCCAAGGGAAGAAGCTGGTCTACAAAATAGCTTACAGACTTTTTAAAAAAAAATCTTTTTGAGACAGGGTCTTGCTATACAGTTCAGGCTGGCTTTGAGCTCACTTTCTAGCCCTGGCTGGCCTTAAACATTTTTTAAAAATTTTTAAAATTACCCAGGATCCGTATTCCTTGGGGCCATTTTTTAAAGCTTTGTAGAGTAATTTTATATATACAGAAACTTATCAAATAGTATACTCCTTACTCTTCTGTTAAAATGTATAATTATGGTACATTTGTAAAACTAAGTTTGTGAGACTATCTTTATCACATACCATCTCTCCAATATTCCTGAATCTAATTTAGTACTAATTCTTATTTTCTCAATAGAAAGATCACCAAGAAGTTGTTACTCATGACCAACTAGATCAATGAAAAACCTACTCATTCATGGGCCACAAAATCCCCAGAGACTCAATATTAGCGGAATTCTGCCCCAAACACAACACCAATTAAGAAATGATTTAAAAAAATAAATGTATATTTATTAAAAACAGAAAGAGAAGAATCCTAGCGAAACAAGCCTTGGAGTGCAGGAATCCCACTTCCTGCAGACGCCAGCTGCAGCGCTAGGTACGCCTCCGAAGTTCAGGCGCCTCGGCCCACAGATGAGGTCTCAAGTGCTCCTCTGGGGTCAAAATTGGCGTCCACAAGTTACTAGTCTGTGAGGACCTGATTATTAGCACAGGCAAATGTTACAGCGAGACGCCCGGCTCTCTCGTGCCCTACCCCAACCCTCGGCCACTGGCACGGCCTCCGAGAAGCTACATGTCCTCAACACTCCACTTGTAGGCAAGCTCCTCCACTGCCTTCTTGCTGGCAAGCCTGGCGAAGCGTCTCTGCTCAAATCCATTGGATCTGTAATCAAAGGTGACACAATTATCAGTCAGAACCCTCCACTGCACATTTGTTTTAAAAGAAAAAGAACAGTTCATAATGAGAAGGGAGAAAAGACATATTTAAAATATATGTGACTAGAATCAAACAAAGTATATAATTTACCTTCTTAATCCTTACCTGGACCGTTCTCTGACAACTGCCCAAACGCTTACCATTCTCCAAAAAGCTCACCTAACTCTTAGCTGATGTCCACATCTTACATTCATGCATTCACTAAACAAACGTTGGCTGAATTCTCAGTGGACACAGCATTGTGGTAGGCACTATAGGAAAATTAGTATGACACAGTGCCTGTCCTCACACACATGCACACAGATTAGAGCTGTAAAAAGAGACATTTAAACAAAAACAAAAAGCGTAATATATGGCAGAAATGTGCATAGGGTATCACAGAAGCAGAATGGGGACTTTATTCAGTTTAGGAGAGGAAAGGTAAAAAGATGACATGGAGGATAGATAAGAAAGTCCAGAGAGGATTCACAGGAGTGGCACTAAGCTAGCTCTGCAGCAAGGGACAGAAGTGTCAGAAAGTCATTTCAGGTCACAGTCCAACGTGAATGACAAAAGCAGAGGCACAGAAATAAGAGTTATTCTGGTACGTGCAGGGAACCAAAGGCAAACGTGTGGGTAGAGCCTTAAGTATGACAAAGGGAGTGGCCATGAGTCAAAAATGGAGATGCCAAATCATAATGAGTTTTGTAGGACACAGTGTAAAGTTCGATTTCATCCATTAAACAGAAGCATAAACTGCATTTCAAAGAGATTACTCTGGAAGATTACTCTGCAATGGCCTTGGCAACACATGAAAAGAAGGACAGCAAGAGGGATAACATGGAGGTAAAACTAATAGAACTTATAGACTGATTAGACAGAAGGACAAGGGAGAAAGTAAGCTTGCCTTACTGGCTAAGATCTGAGTGACCCCATGAAGGAGACTGCCACTTGCCAGGACAGAGAGCAGAACAGCAGCAGGCCTACAATTGGGCAAGCTGTCGAAGGCACGTTGTACATTAGGGTCTCAAGAGCATATTAAGAGAAATCCACCATGGAGTTAGATGCTTTATTTTATTTT